TCCCCAGCAGGTCGAGGCTGCAGTGGCCGGGAGCGACCACTGCACTCCAGTCTGGGTGACCGAGTGAGACTCCAACTCAAAAAAAAAAAAAAAAAATTTTATTCACATTACAATATAAGAAGCATTCCCCCCTCTATTATTGCAGAAGTTATAGAACTTGTTTAAATTGTTTTAGTGATTACCTGAAAAATTATAACATGCATCCTTAATTTTTCAGTCTAGAGGACATTATTATTTTATCCTTGATAATACAAGACCTAAAAATTCCATATACTTCTTAACTCTGGCTTATATGTTATTGTTGACTGTTTTTTCCTTAGTCTTCTTGTTTCAACTTTTAAACAGACTCTTTAAAAAAAAATCACACTGGACATTAGTACTGTTGTTTTATCTTTGTCAGAATTTATCTACATTTACCAAAAGTTTTGTATATTATTTCAGTTTAACAGTTAGTTTCTTTCAACATATTGAAGATACCATCTCTTTGAAAGTTATCCTTCCAAGTAGCTGGAACTACAGGCGCGCACTACCATGCCCGGCTAATTTTTTGATTTATTGTAGAGATGAGGTCTCGTCAAATTGCCCAGGCGGGTCTCGAACCCGCGGGCTCAGGCAATCCACTCACCTCAGCTTCCCAAGGCACAGGATTACGGGCTGAGCCACCGAGCCCGGCTTCCTCTGAACTTCTATTATGTTCCCTTTGCTCTCATGAAACTCAACAGCTCTTTTATGTTTTCTATTCTTTAGTCTCTTTGGGCTGCATTCTGGATAAATTCTTCTGATCTAGTCTAGCTGTGTCCAATCTCTTGCCAAGTCTGCCCATTCAATTTTAAAACTTATTTATTATATTTTTCATTTCTAGAGGTTCTGTATGATTCTTTTTCAAATCTGCTATGTCATTTTTAATAGTTTCCTATTTCCTGAAGATACATAGCTTCTTTAGGGCTCTTTTTTCTTTTAAACATGGTAAGTATTATCTGATAATTCAAATATCCGAAGTATTTGGAGTCAGTTTGCACAATATTTTTGCTGTGGTTCTCACTCATGGTACCTTGTTTTCATGTATGTTTGGCTATTTTTTTTTTTGAGTTGGAGTCTTACTCTGTCGCCCAGACTGGAATGCAGTGGCCGCTCCCGGCCACCGCAG